AAGCTAATACAATTTTAACAATTGTATCTTCAACTTTGATTTCTATTGGCTTGCGGAAAACTCTAAACACGGAAGAAAGTAACCCAAATGTATTTTCTATTATTCAACGCGCTCTGGACAATCTGTAATTATATACTCTTTTTTGAGAACCTTTGTTTAAGTCTGTGTTGTATGGTTTCATAATATGTTCAGTTAATAGAAATGCATCATCGGCCACTAAAACATGAGGAATCCAACGTTAACATATAAAAAACTATAGTTAGCATCAGCTATTCCTAATAAAACAATACTATTTGTTCCTTTATAATTGTGAAATTCACTTATCGTATTTTCTGGTTTTTGAATTACGACGTGCTTTCCGTCAATAGCACCGATACAGTGAGGAAAATTCCATAGCTTGTTAAATTAATTTGAGATAGATTTCCATTCTTGGTCATTTGAGGGAATCTATGGGAAAAATAAATTATTAATATATGTGAATATACTCAATGTATGTAATAAATATGTTTGCAGGATCTATAAAATGAAGAAATATGTGAAGATCTGCATAATACTACAACAGATTATGAATTCGTACAGCCTATAAGGGCAAAGAGAAATTTAAAAAAAAGTGTTCGTGATGAGAGAGAAGACGAGGCGTATAAATTTATGAAAAAAGCAGCTGACGAAATATCTGCAAGAGATGAGTTTTGTACATTCGGCACATTTGTAGCAGATAATGTACGGAAACTTAAACCCATTAACCAAATTTTGGCCAAACGTCAGATTACTAACATACTAATGGATTTGCAAATTAAAGAAATGGAAACATGTGAAAGACAACGATTTAGGACTGAATCGCCCGAAACTTCTGTTGGAGCATCCAGTAGTGATACTCAGTCTTTTGTATTTGACGAGTCAACAAATCTTGCAGTGAACACAGTTGATGATTTGACTTCACATGAGAACTTAAAATCGTTAAAAATCGGCGAATATTTATCATTCAATACAGTCAATAAGAACATTTAATGTGCCTACCTACATTCTTCATTTTTAATTCTCATATTTTTAATGTAATAACTAATTACCAATATGTACATATAATAAATAATAATAAAATGTTTCCTAATATGCTCTACTTATTGTTAGTTATTATAAAAAAATATGAATTAAACGTATTAAACCCAAGAAAATCTAAAAATTGTAATTACTTATAATTATAACTTAAACCTAATTTAATTGTATGAATACATATTTTACTTACCTTTATATAATGTTGTACAGCATCTATTATAGCATTCAACACCGTGGGTAACATAGTCGATATAAATGGCTTAGAAACTTTAAACAGGTACATTAAAGAGGTAAATGAATCTTTAGCTAAATATCTTAGCGTTATTAATAACTTAATTTTAGGTGGAACAGACATTCTAAAACAAGTGTTTTGTTTTACTATTTGAGGTTCAATTATTTTTAATATTGAGTAAAAATTGGCTCTGGACATTCGCGTAAAATTTCTAAATAAAATATCTTCGTCTAATTGCAAATCATCTATAATTCCGAAATTTTGATTTTTTAAATAATTTTTAACCCACAATGAACGCTTTTTCCAACGTTTTTTATTTGCACTCGCAATAATTAAGTAAGCCGCACTGACACCGAAAAGTAGATTTGGATCCGACATGATTTTTATTAAAATGCTGAAATGTGAACTGAAGGTGAACTGTTTTGTAACGTCGCTGGTGTGAACAGAAAAAAGCATGCGTCTGAAGCATTCAATAAAGGTATGCGCTTAGTGAAAGTGGAATTGAATGTTGAAACGCAAGTTGAATTGAAAATTGAAGCGGAAAGCGCACGAGTGTAAACATACCTTAGACCAACAAAAAACTATTGGTACTGTCAACTAAGTGTTTTAGTAAAGGTAACCGCCCATATAGTTTGACCAACCGAAACAAATACAATCATAACTAAATTATTTTTTTCCGTGCAAATCAAAATAAAAAGTATAAACAATTTTTTTACAGTAGGGTTACATAATTGTAAATGTAATTTAAAAAGTAATACTAATTAATTATTACTAATAAAAATTTAATTTAATATTCAAAAATTAAATTTTTTTTTTTGATAAATTTTGAGTGCATATTTTAACATTAATGCATATATATGTGCATGTTAAAGATTTTTTCCCGCATATTTGGTTGGTTTTTAATATATATAAATCCATTGTAGTAATGAGTAGGGCTCGAAAGTTGATGCATTTTGCATTTTTTTAAAAACTTTTAAGACCATGCATCGCGATGCTCTCCTGGCGAAAATGTGTTTCATTATTATATGAATTCGAATAACAAATCTTATTTTGCATTTTTTGGTGTTTGTTACTTTTTAAGTAGTTTTTTTAAATTTTCAATTTATTTTCCCATATTTTTAGTCATTTTTACTGATTTCACACTAGTTCACTTCTTATCGTTTTTTATCGACCATTATGCCAATAGCTTAAGACTTGTCCGATTTTATCTCGCCGATTACATTCGTCGCATCATTGTCATATTATAGTGAATAATATCTATTATATCTAAATTTTACTATTTTTTCGTAATATTTTCGAAATAAAGAAAATTAAAACGTCAGTTAGAGTTCGTCTGCGTCTCCCAATCACTTCAGTTGACGTGGAGAGAAAATTTTCCAAATTTAAATATTAATTTATAAACAGATAATCGTCGTTCATTTACTAACTAATAACATCACAACAACACGTTCTAATTGTACAATGCAATGATTTCGATTTTTAAGTAATTTGTAAGTTTAGATAAATTTATAAAACAAATGTTTATCATATTTTTATTTCATATTTTAAGGACATTTGTTGTCATTTTTATGTCATATTTTGAGTATTTTGTAAGTTTTGATAAATGTGTATAGAATGTTAAAGTAAAATAGAGTAAAATATTTAAAAAATGTATTTTTATTCATTTTAAACAAATACTTGTAATTTTTTTTAAGTTACTTTTTAAAAAAAATTTTTGTCGTTTTTAAGTCATACTTGCATCTTTTTTTGTGTCACTTTTTAATGTTTTTAAGGTCATCAACTTCCGAGCCTTAGCAATGAGTAATAACTATATACCTATATCAGCTTATTTACTGTTTCCTATTTATTGACGTTCTGTCTTCCTGATGAATATCAGGACTTCTGACTTTTCATGACTCGATGGCTTATACTATACAATGTTCAGATAAATAATTTATAATTTTTATATTATGTCTATACAATTATTTAAGAGTATTCATATTATGGAAATGTTTAAACTCGTCTCATATATACACTTACTCGGGTATACCTATACCAAAGACTGCGTATTGCATTTGTTAATTACTAATAAAATTTAAAAATTATTAATACCTATGAGTTTATTTTTTCTCTCTGTTCCAATATTTTTGTCTTATAATTTTTGTTTGTTTACGCCTTTGTGATGGTACATCCTTAATTTTAAAATGTTTACTCTACTGTTAATTATTTATTATTATATATTTTAATACGTATAAAAATATATTGCCTAAATTATATATTATTATTTATTTAAACTGCTAATAGACATCATTCATTGATAATAATTAATTTTACAATGTTTTTTAATTTCATTATTGTGACGTTTAACTTAATTTTTGAGTAAGGAAAGCGGCGAAGTGGTGATTTTTAAGTCGCACCTCCAAAAAATAACAGCCAAAACCGTTATTAGGTATCATATAACCATAGGCGTAGGGTGATCAAATATATTGGGGGAGCTGCAAAAACAACAATAATAATATTAAAAAAAAAAAAAATACTAAACTAAATGAAAATAAGACTACTCGACGAAATGAGCAAAAATAAGACAAATAATTCTTGGGGGGCTAATATTCGCACTGGGGGGCTAAGCCCCCTCCCAAGCCCCCCCTAGATACGCCTATGTATATAACACCAGGATTTGACAACCTTTTTACTTACGCGAATCATATTTTTTACCAGCTTTTCAATTATCAGTTATAAATTTTTCAACAGTTTTTCTAATAATTATGAACAATTTAGGATAAACTGCAAAAAAACTACAATATTTACGGCATACTAGTTATCAATAAAATTGAGTTTTCGTTGTCATCAAAAAAGTAATAAATATAGAGACCAAAAATTTTTATTGAACACTATCATCACCATTCAGTATACTCCGTGAATACATTTTTGAGATATTTATAGATGTTTGAACATTTTATGTTTCCAAGCTTTTTTTTGTAAGTTGTCAATACAATTATTTTGGATTAACAAAAATGTTTGAAAATGTAAAACGAAGTTTTTTAAAAAGACATTTTACTGGATAATAAAAAGAAAATTTAACTAAATTTATGAAAGAAAAATATATTTATGAAATTTATTATAAATAGATATCTCATAAAAATCTACCTAATTTTTGTTATTAAAAATTAAGGTTTAAAAATTGGTTACAAAATGTTTATAAAATTTACTTTGCAGCTAAAAATTAAAGCTTTTAGCTGAAAGTTTACAAACATTTTTATACGTGTTTGAAAATCAAATATTGAAATGATCGTGTATATTTTGTCAAACCAAAATAATTTATCAATATCTTACGAAAAAACCCACGAAAATTTGAAATTTTCAAATATCTATAAATAGCTCAACATTTGAGAAAATTTAGAAAAAATTCCGCATTATCAAAAAAATTATGATCGATAAATCTTTTTTTTTTTTTTTTTTAATTTTTCGTTAGTTTTTTGCAATTATTAGGAAAACTGTTGAAAATTTTTTAAAAATAACTCCCGAAAAGTACTAATTAGACAAAATTTCTTATCAAAAATGTTTACAATTATGATGATCAGAGTAATTATTATAGTTAGTGTATACATTATAATTGTGTACACCGACAAAAAAATTTTAAAAAAAACACATCATGGTAATATTTTTTACTCAGATTTTAAAATTAAAGTTAATTTTAATTTAAAATATTAACGACACTTATCTAAATTAAGTTAGTTTATGCATCTGGTCTCGACTTGCAAACATCATTTTGAGTTTTCTTATTACAGTTCTGTACATTTTTAATTTTAATTATTTGTTCTTGGGCATTTTGAAAAATATTGAACAGTGAATCAATTTGTTTTTGCATCTTAGAAGATACCTATTAAAAAATTAATAAGTTCATATAATGTATTGAACAATTTATTAAACGTCATTGTGTTGTATATATTTTTAAAACGACAGCTTTTTAATACAATAAACAACTGTTAGTAATTTAATCGAAATAAATTAATAAAATTAATAGTAATGACTGTACAACACATAAACATTAAAAACATTATTTTGTGCAACATAATTAGATAATTCACGAAGGAACATAAAAACATAATACGTTTTTGTTTTAAAATCAATTCTTGATAAGATATACAATTTTTAGCATAATTTTTTCCAAAATATGTATATATTAAATATAATGTATTATAAAATTCCATTTTTAAACTCCAACAAAAATAATGAAAATAATTTATAGTTTGGAATACAATAATTCATTATTTAGGAGCATTGAGAAAATCATATAAGTCATACAACTTCTTAACTATGTGAAAAATAATAAGTTTTTGTTTACTAAAGATAGCTGTTCATCTTCAAAACAAGATTCTGCTTCGATTTTAGATACTTCATTTTGGAGTTTGTCAAGTGTATCCAAATATTCTTCGGTCAGTCCGTTTAAAAAGACCCGGGTTTTATTAATTTTTAAATCCGTTTCAGTTTTTATCTTATCTAATCGAGATTTATGTTCATTTGCTATTCGACTCGTTTCGTCATAAGTGTACTGAATGTCAGCTGAAACCTTTTCTAATTTTTCTAGTTCACTCCTAAAAAATAAACTATTAATAATTACCTATTCATTTTTATTGACTTATTTTTATTTTTATTGAGTTTATTCAATTTACTTTAATTTATTATTTTTAGCCTTTAACATCGTTAATGTTCTTAATTTATGACCAGAGTCCCCGTCGACATTCTCATTGCCCATCTACGATCATTAAATATAACACAAATATATTAATGTATAATTTATAAAAAATATTATATATACGATGTTTTTAAGTTTTTTTTGTAGTTCTTCTATAGTTTTTTCCGCCGACATTTTTATTTCCTTCTGAATAGCTAATTGTTCTTGAGCTGCAAATAATGCAACGGGTAATTGATTTGTGTGATTAAGACGTTTTTTGAAATACTCCTAAAAGAAAACATAATTAGTATTTTTATATCCATTTGATAGGAATTTAAAATACGTATGAAATTATTTGCTTAAAATAAAATTTTTTTATAGATACATGTATATTTATATATTGTAAAAAACAGATTATATCTAATCAAAAATGTATAATATCAAATCAGATACTAAATTTAAAATATTAATATTAAAAAAATATTAACAATGAAAAATAAAAAGTGTTGACAATACAACAGTAATAATAATAATTATAATGTTAATAACAACGGTAATAATAATAAGTCACATGAGGAACGATGTATATATTAATAAACATTTAATTTTTTTGTTTCCAAGTTAAAAATAGAAATATATTCATAAAAAATTTAGTGCGCAATAAAAAACGTAATAAAAACGTAAAGCTTATAGGTCATAGAAGAATTGGCATTAATTCGATTGAAGTTATAACTTTTAACTTATAACAATCAAATCGAATTTTTTTTGTAAAATTATGTACAACGCACTTTTATCTGATTGAATTCAGTTTCGTACACATTTGTTAACCTTGCCTTTTCTTTGCACAAGTTACTGGCTCGAAATATTTCATACTCTTTAACTCGAAGGGCGTTCATGTACTAAAATTTGAAATACATTAACCGTTCAATGCAAATAAATACTTCATTATTTTATAATGCTAACCATTTTTTTCTTTTCGTTTAACTCGTCCATTTGATGTGCCATAATGGATTTTAAGTCATCCGAACGATTTTTAACACTATCGAGCTCTGCTCTTTGCTTAGCCTTGCTGTCTTCATCGGTTTCAGTATTCTGAAGACAATATTTTATATTTATCCGGATCATCAAATCGTTACGTTAACTTACCTTTTCTATAGCCGCTAATTGTGAGTTAACCTCATTAAAGTCACGTTGGACTTCTTCAAACTGTTTCTCGCTGAGGTGCAATTCTTTTTTCGATTTCTCTAATTTTACACGGTATTTGGACACGTCTAATACTACCTGACTGAAAGTGAATAAAATATACATATTATGAATAAATTATCAGTACGGTAACGATTACAACGTGGAACAATAACAGAGAAAAATTATCATAATGATATTTACTCAAATTCGTTGTCTATAACTTGGTACTCTTTATGTAGTTCATTTAACTCGTTTTCCATCAATTCATTCGTATTGTTTTCGTTGCCATTATTAGGTATCTAAAAAAATTGTTTTGTTTAAAAAAATAATCATTACAACAGCTGTGATGAATATTCACGATGTTGCACATAGACTTGATAATTTCTCGTGCCTTTTCGATTTGGCAGCGATCTTCTTGGAAACCATCCAACACTGATTTTAATTTCAACATTTCTCGATTCAAAATATCCAATTTCAATTGCTGCATGAAAATAAATAATTTTAATGATGATCTTTTTATTAACGAGAAACACAAAATACCATTTCTTTTTTTCCTGGAAATACAATTTCACCAGTTTTTGTTTGATTGAAAGGCCTCTAAATATAAAATATGTTTTTTATTTTATCCTTGAACACCACTAAAAATATAATTTATAAACCATTAATTAAAAATCGTATTCATGAAATAAGTACCCTAGCGCAAAGCTGTTTTTTCAATTTGATACTTTTGTTGTTCTATAAAATAAAAAAACATGCATAAATTAGTAGAATAACGTAATTATTAATAGTTTAATTCAAAGTTAAATGTTTACCTCTTCCTCCAACATTAATTTTATTTTTGCGTTTTGTTGCATTAACGTTTCTATTTGATGTTTTACCTCTACTAAAGCAAAATTAATTTTTTCGTCTTCGATACTCATTTTTCCAAATTTAATTTATTGATATTATAATTTATAATCAGGTAATTACAGATTAAATTTTTTTTTTTTAATGTAATACTATAAAATAAATTATTGTGGAATTACCATGGCAACTGTTTCAGTTAAATACTATAAGGTCTGAAGCGACATCAATGATCAATATTTAAAGTAATTCTATATATTCGAATGCTATGTTTTTTCATATATTTTGATGTATTTAAAATTTGCAATATTTTCTTAATAACGATTCTAAGTCGAACAAATTAGCTGATCAAATTTTGCGTTTTTGAACGAGCAACTATTGACAAGCGCCGGGTTAAGGTCATCCATTTACATATTACTCGATTATTTGCATCATATAATTTTCTATTCTATAGCTACTATGATTATTCTTGGTTGATGAGCTTACTGTGCAAATATAAATTGATTTATTTATTTTAATTAGTTATTCGTCTTTTAAGTAGATTTTGTTATGGTATAATGTATATTATCCAACTTCAAAGATCATATTAATATTGTTTCGTCGTTAGTGCTGCACATAGGATTTTTTTCGAGGAGGGGGGGGGGTCAAGGTAAAAATATAACACATTTTACAATTAACAAAATTATGCAAATCCTTTATATATTTTGACTTAAATAATTTTTGTCATGTAACTTTGACTTCAATTTTATACATACACTATTAGTTTAAAAGTAAATTATAATATGACGTAATATACTTTTTAATTATTTTTTTCCATTGTAATTATAAATCTAAAACTTAATCTTAACCTAACCTCTGTCTTTTATTTGATGATTTACTCATCTCATTAATTATATCATTCGGAACTTCTATATATCTAAGAATATTTAATAAAGCTAGACTATTAAGCCTATTTTTTCCTATTGTATTTCTTTAGTAGGTCTTAATACGTCGTAATGTTGAAAACGACCGTTTTCCAGTGGCTGTGGTTACTGGTAAAGTAATAAATATTTGCAGCAATTTTGAAATGATTGGGTATGTTTGAGGATCGCACTGAAAGTACAGACCTGTAACAATTTTTTTTGTTTGAATAATTTCTGACTGATGCTTAAAACTATTTTGCCATAATTGTAATTCAGCAGTTTTCGAATATTCACTTATATCACCTAAATTATTTTCATATATTATATTTTTATATATTTCTGAAAGTAATTTAAAACTTTCTTCGATATCATTGCTAATTTTAAAGTCAGAATTAGGAAATAAACAAGTAAAGCTGCTTAATATATTCTCGTGTGTTGAAAATCGATCATGCAGTTGATCTATAAAATTATTCAAGAAAAGGATAAATATTGTAACACGGTAATAACTTTCTGGATTGTTTATGGCTACATTACTTCTATGTGCTTGGCGACCTGATATTCTGGGAATACAAACATCAATTCCAATTTTATTACAATATGTTTCAACAGACTTAAATACTCTACTAAACTCTTTAATAGCATTCACACGAATATCTTTTAATGCGTTTTGAGTAACATTGGCAAAATAAAGAGCTTGTTTTAAATCTAAACTTTCAGTTAGTAAAAATCTACTCAGTCGCACAGATATTGAAAATAATTTAACTAAAATTATGAATGATACTTGGAACATAGATTGGTTTATTGAAGCTGAAAGTTGATTAGCTGTTGATGATGTATCAACATCTGTCCAAAAAGAAATTTCTTCTATAGAAGATATAATTGCAGGCTGAATTCATGAAATAGCATGACAGCATCATGGCGCTTAATCTACCAATCTATTGGAGAAAAATGATTTTAGCTTTTGTAATTTTTCACTTGAAAATATCTTTGTAATTGTAGACTGGAGAATATTTAATGTTTTAGGATATCCAAAGAAATTACAAATCGTCTGCATAGTATCTATACAATTTCTTATTTCAGAAATTTGGCAAGTAAAAGACACAGCTAAATTTACTGCATCATATCATTGTCCAACTATATATTTTGTTTCTATTCCTAAAGATTGAAAGTTTTGTAATATTGTATCAGCTAATGCCTTCTACTCATATTTTTTACTTCAACAAACTGTACAAATTTTCCCTCAATTTCTTTTTCACCAGAATTAACATATCTGATACATAAAGTTAATTTTTCCTTCTTTGATATATCACTTGTTTCATCAGCTAAAATTGTGAATGATTTTGCAGCGTTGATGTTTTTTACAAAGTGTTGTAGAATAAGAATGTTATAAGTCGTTAATATTTAATTTTGTATGTGCCAGCTTGTGTACATACCATTTTTAGCACATGGCACCAAATGATTTTCAAGATCTTTGTCACCAGCGTCGACTCTAAATCTCAATAACTGTCTAAAATTGTCATAATTATGCATTTTGTCATCTTCAATACCAATTATACCTCTATCTCTGTGACCTCTGAGTGCAATTCCCTGCTTTCCACAAAATAATACCGTTTTTATCATAGGAATAATACGATTTTGATTTTCCTGAATTTCTTTCTTTAAATTATCATTGACCTGAACTTCAATTGATTCAACTTGATTATTTTTTACAGCAAAAAAAAGCATCATACTTGTATTGGCAAGTTTCATGATAATCTGAAGCTTCATGTGTTTTAAAAAATCCGTTAACTCCAAGTGCTTTTTTCCAGTTATCAAATTTTTTTTAAAAACCAATTTACCTAAGACTTGATGGTTGCCTCTTCCAACACTTTTATCAAGACTAAAAATACACATAGTTTGCAGTATGCACCATTTTCTTTTTTAGAAAAACATAACCATTTATATTGCAAAAGCCAAATGTACTGGAATTTTAAGTTTCTTTTTCCAGTTTTAGGAAAATTATAACCAGGCATTGGAATCCAAAGCTTATTTAATGCAAGCACCTTTTCATCATTAAATAACTGTGATAGAAATAACAAACAATAATTATACACTCAAACCAAAACAAAAATATCATTATATCAAACTTAAAGTTTTTCCTACATAAAAAGATATATCATTATTACATTCATATTCTTGTTTATTACATTTTATTATTTCATCAATATCAACCGCATAAAATAAAAGCTGATATTAGATATAAAAAGCAAAAAATTAAAAATATACAAATAGCATTATGACAATACCTAGTTAGACATTCATAAATTGAATACAAGCAAATATTCGTTAATATAATTGTCATAATTGACATACTGTTCGCTAGTTAAGTGTTTTTTGGTGATAGCTCAAGCAAAGAAAAAAGCTGTGCATGAAATTTGAACAAAAAAAAAATTGTAAATTTATGTATGGGACAAAATTAGATAGGTACTTAATGCATAATAGTTATACTCGTATTCTCATTATAATTTTTTTATCAAAATTATTTTATCAAATTTATGTTTATTCAAAGACCATATTTTTAATAGAGATAAATGATAATGACATAATATTATTATATATCTACCACATCATAGATACCTAAAAGCATTGATTATAGAATAGACTAATCTATAATCAATGATAGTAGGTATTCAATACTAGTTATTCATATTTCAAACTTGTAAAATTTGTAAATTTTAACCTATACCTCGGAGAACATTTTGGGGGGAGGAAGTAACAACCTCTTAACCCCCCCCTACGTGCGCCACTGTTCGTCGTTCTTATTGCGATTTTATGTATCGGCAGAATAGTATACACTATACCTTTTTTTTTTGCATTCGTATTTCTTTCTTCGATTGCTTTGACTGAAATTTAAGCGTGACACAGAATATATTCTACAACAGAACATTAGCTATTACATATATGTTATATATGTGTATACATGGACATCTGCAGGCATTCATATAAGGCTGACAAAGGTAATTTCAAAAATAAATAATCATTTCATGTTAATATCATATAAGTTTTATTACGTGTAAGTAAAAAATTTACAAAAATATAACTCATTAGTTTATAATCCAAAGGTATGGACATTTATTTCTTTTCCACCTCCGCTCTACTCACTCAAGGGGAGACGCTTAGCTTACATATAAACTTTTTATAAAAATGTACGTAGTATTCTAAAAAAAATTGAATTTTACAATGAAAAACTAATTAATTGTTTATAATTAATATTAAAACAATATGTATAGATACCAGAAGAAGTATTTTAAATTACGAGACGTTATTAAAATAAAAAACCTTTAACATACTAATATTTTAAATTTCAAAAATAAAGTTAAAAAAATATTTATTTATTCCATTGACATTTTTGTAAAACGATTTCGACCGCTTCAGCGATTGATTCGGAAACAGGCACTTTTCCTCGAGATGCAAAATCTGCCAAGTACATTCTACCACGATTGTAATCATTTATCGCTGTTTGCGTTAACTGAAATAATAAATATTGATCAATTAAATTGGGCACTTATACGTTTCTTAATAAAAAAAAATAAAAAAAAATATACAAAAATACATAGTAATAATGTATATAATACTAATATGTTTATGTGTGTTGATTATATATTAATACCTTTTCTCCACGAACAGTACTATTATTTTTGCTGAGATGCTGTATACATAAAACCATTTTACAATTTTTAGCGATACAATATGCTGCCTAAAAAAATCATATAAAAATTATCATCAATATTTAAAAATATCATTCTTAAATATGATTTAATGATTATAATAATGTAATTTACCAGCGTCATGGTTGCTAACGATCTTGAATTATTTGGGATTACAAATAACATCGTACACGCATTCGATAAAAACGATAAATCCATCTTCGTTACTATGTGATACGTTAAATTGGCTTTTCTAAAAAAAAAAAAGAGCAATATGATTAAACCAATAACGAGTGATAAAAAATTACACACTAATATTACTCACTTAATCATAGGAACTGCGATGTCTTTTGTCCATTTGATATCATAACCGTTTTCACCTACCAGATAAATATCTACTATTTTTGAAGATCCAGTCGTATTTGTACATTCTCGTGGCAGACACAACGATCTATCGGCTGTTGCACAACATGGACATCCAACAAGGAAACATTTAATAACAGTTATTATATTTTAATAACATTCTTTACTCGTAATATTTTTTAAATTTAAATTTTTCGTTTTAAAACTTACTGATATCGAATCCGTCGAATTTTCGATTGGGTTCTTCCGGTAGTCGAAGATAATATTTAGAAGAGAAAAGATGAAATTGATCGAACGTAAAATATTCTTGATGTATAGTTCCAACAGCTGTGTATGTACAGTTACAATAATAATGGTCATAACCTTTTTTTAAATTTCAATAAAATCACTGTGGGGTTCGGAAATGGTTAATAAAGGGTTGTGTGTTACATTTACGTCATGAAATGTGTTTTTTGAGAGTAAATAATAATAATTAGTGTAAGTAGAAATAATGAGTTAAAAGTTCATATTCCATTCGGTTATAGTGACGTCATCATTTATTAAGTGTTCAACGCTATACGATGACCAACTGTTATATTTACTACACATATTAATTTATCCATTGATTACATAATAGCGCAATAAGTATTTTGAACACAAATTATAGTTCATCGAGAAGTTTATTAATTATTAAGTTAGTGTAGTTAATAGTTGTCGATTATCTACTATAGTATCGCGGTCGTCAAGACCGTAGCCAGAAAAATGTTTTTTTTTTTTTTTTGGGGGGGGAGTTAGAGTATAAATATGTTATATTATGTTAAAAATATGAAATTATAAAAACATTTAAATTAAGAACATGACATTTTTTTAAAATTTCGATAGGTAACTACGGAGGTACATCATCTTATATTACTACATTAATAATTATATTTTATTATACTTTAGTATACAAGTTAAATATATATATATATATATATATATATATATATATATATATATATCAAAAAAACAAAAATTTATTCAACGTACTACAATATGACTATACTAATTTAATTTTCCTTGAGGTATTTGAAAATCTTTTGATAACTTCTTCAGTGTCAATTTAAATACCTCTATGTACACTCATAAGAACGTTAGTTCTACTAACCTTTCTTGTCCGGTTCTGTTTCTTAAAAACGTTTTTAGGCATTTTAAAGTTGAAAACGTTCTGTCAGGTGTTGATACGGGCAAAGTTCCCAACACATTCAATAAATAAGAAATTGACGGAAAAAATCTAAAATGCACTGGGACAACGCGTTTAAAACATTTGATGGCCTATCTTTTTCCAAAATCTTGGTACATTTTGTCTGCCATAGCAAAAATTCTGCTTCAATTAGCCAGTGAGTTTGGATTATCAAAAAAAAAAAAAAAAACAACACAAGATTTAATATCTTTATATTTTTTGTTGCCACAAAATTTAGGGATAAAGTTTTGTAGGCTTATTATTAATTGTTTCTTGTTATTAAATCGTTCATTTAGTTGTTGAAAAAGTCGTCTAATAAAGGTATGTAAATTGAAATTCGAAAATATTCTTCGGGATCATTGATTTCAATATTGATGCGTTTAGTTTGGCGATAATTAATTCTTGGCATAGCTATTTTATTATTAACTGATTCTAACATGGTTTTAGATTTATTAAATAAAATTGAAAATTCTTCATTGGCATTTTCTCGCATTTTCATTAAAATGTCGGATATGTTTTTAATATGTTCATATGCTTCATAAAGATCGCAGTTAACTTTTTGTAAAATGTTGCAAAGGTTATTATTGCATTTATTTTATATCTACTTATTTTAATGATATAAATGTAAATTTCATACTTACGTCAAAAAAATTAAACCACTCCCAAAACAAAATCCTGGGCACGCCCTTGATTATAGGAATAGTATTTGTAATTGAATTGAATAATCCGGATAATCCATGAAATCTAGATTTCCTAAATTCGGATGTGCTCATCACTAGTTCTTGGTGTTACGAACATGCATAAATGTAGATCCTTACGAATTTTATTACATAGGAGGGACCACATAAATCGTAATAGTAGAGATTGGGAAATTATTATAAATAATATAATATTCGCAACAATAGAAAGGAACTATTAATTTAAATCAGAAAGTAACGCAAACACATATTATATATACCGTATGGCTACATTCCAAAGTGTAATATTAAGAATAACTATTATAGAAAGGCATCAATATGATATATTACAGAGATGTAGGTCCTTACGAATTATATTGTAGAGAAGACAAATAGTACATAATAAATATTAAAAACAACTATTATAGAAAGGCATCAGTAGGATACATGCAAAATGCGGAATTCACGAGGTCAACTGATTACATAGGTAATCTAATGTTGGATACACAAAATATAAGTAGCATCAATCTAAAATGCCAAGGTGAACCGCATAATACGAGTGGTTTAGCATTCACTAGGCCCTCCCCGGTTAGGATAATCCAATTATGAGAATCAGGGTATATAAGGGAGTCCCAAATAGACCAATATTCAGATGTGTTTTAATCCAAGCTTAGCAAGAACCTCCACATAAGATAATACCGTGATTATTATACTTAGAATTAATTTCAATGAATAAATGTTTTTTGGACTTAAAATAATTTGTCAATAAATAATAAATATTCACAGTCTAGTGATTATTTAGTAAACATATCCTATCACATCCTCATCTCAAAGGTTGAACTGACCACACGCAATATTGGTATATACTTAAAAATATTTTGTTTTAATATTTCTGTACGCTGAATTGATGATTTAAAGAAGTTACAAATGGTATGGATTGTTCCTATAGAATTTCGAAATTATTGAATTTTACAAGAATGACTTAATACTAGGTTTAAAGAGTGAGCACTACAGTGGACGTACAGTGCTTTAGGATAATTTTCTCTAATTTTAGCTAGTACGGCATTTAAATGGCTACTCATAGCCGCCGCTCCATCATAACCTTGACCACATAATAATTCTAAACGTATTTTTATACTGTTTAATGAATTTAAAATACTTGATATCCTATTTTCGGTAAAATCAATTACTGGAACAAATGTTAAGAAATCTTCTCTTATTTTAAATTCATTATAATTATCAGACATCTATGTATCGCATATATAATGACATTTTTTCAATTTTGCTTATGTCGGTTATTTCACCTACCATAGTTGAAACACTTTGATTTATTTATTCTATTGACTATTTTTTCAAGAATTAAATTTCTACAAATCGAAATAAATTCATTTTGTATATCCGGGCTAGTATAAAGTGCGTTACATGGAGCATTTTCAGTATGATTTTTTAATTTAGAATCTCCAGATTCAACACGCATTCGTAAAATTTCACGAAAATTACCATTATTTATGATAGCTTCGTCCAAAATCCGAAGTACCCTAAAATGGAATTTCTTGCCTGCCCATGGGTTAGTTAATAATGCATTATTATTATAGTATTAACTAATGGACGAAGTTTTTTTATTTTCTTCGATCTGTTTATTTAACCTATATCAATTTGTTGAACAATATTTGGTTGTAAACCCCGTTGTGCAGATAAAAAGTGTTCATCAGATTCTACAGACTTTTTACGGTACAAATAAATTGAATGTGATTGAAAAGTTTCCAACGCAGAGTCCCTAATTTAATGGAATTTCCTTTTCCTGCTTATTCCCTGGAAAAAACTACACAATATTTGCACAAAATGCCATTTAACAGATCTGAGTAGGTCAACCATGAATACTGATCTATCCAATGACGTTGGAATCGCAAATTTCATTTTCCACTCACAGGAAACTTATAATTGTTTGGAGGACTTCGTGGGTTGTTTAATAATTTTTCTTTGATATTCAACTTATTAATACTATCATTTACAAATTTTCCAATATCAAACATACTAACAGATTTAACTGCTATTAACTTATTGCACTGATCTTCAACTTCCTCGTGATTATTAGAACTCAAAAAATTTCTAAGCTATTAATTTTTTTTGTTTTTTTGATTTTGGCTCAGTAGAAATCCAAGATGATAAATTGGATTGTGAAGATTTATTCATTTTTTAAAAATAATTAACTCCCACGTGCATAGGTATTTAAATGAAAAATTCACGAACTTTTAAAGCAACAAAACAACTATGTACCAAAAAAATATACGTCGTGTAATTATTTTAATTAGTGTTATTAAATTAAAAAATACTTCTTAAATAAAAGGCTTGTGTCTTATTTAATCACGTTCATACCTCAGCAGTCCTGACATCAACAGTTTCTTATTATTATTTTAATTTTATATTTTACACAGTAAAAAATTTAATTTTGATCATTAAAATATTAAAACATTTTTAATACCTTTTAATATTGAGAAAATCGATAACTTTTAAACTTTATAACATATTCAATTTTGTTTTCGGTATTTCCATCGCATCGTGAATCATATGGGATATCTGGTATGAAAATATCATATTGAGATCAAAAAGTTTTAACAAAAAAAAACCGCTTCCGATCCCCTTAATACAGTTTAATGCGTTAAATTACCTTTACAATCTTCGAACTTAAGATTCATTATCTCGCGTTCGGATGTATTTTGATTAGTCAGTAACCGAAGAGCCACCATCGCCTGCGGGGAAATTAAAAATCTATTATCATTAGTATAACGAGTGTAGCGCAGAACGCGAACGATTGTATATCAATTGTGAGCTGTGACTTTTCATGTAATACGTACGTCAAAAAAGTTAATTTTTCCGGAAACTTTAGTGTCAAACATGTTAAACACATGGCGTATATTTCTAAAACGAGAATTACAGTTGTACAATACGAGTCAGCCACATTGTAGTTATTACACGTAATATTATATAATATTATATAATTATGACATTATAATACTGATCTAAGGTTTCTCACCCGTATGTGATGTTGCTCTTGGTAGTACTGTTACTCTGATGGGTTTCGTGTTTCAAAATCTAAATGGAAAACAATAATCCGATAAGACACGGGTTTCTAGTGCTAGTCGTTTTGTTTGTAAATGTTATAAAGCGATTCGATTCAAATATGAGGACCTACTGAATTTTTCAAGTTATTTTTTGATTGTGAAATATTACCCAAAGATTTGATTACGGGTAATTTTTTTCATCAAATATTAATTATTCATAAACTGATTGTTTTTATCTTACGAGTTTTAAGAACGTTATAAAAGCACGATTTTGTTAAATCTTATAATTTTACAATCTTACATCTTACGATTTTAACAACCAGTAAAAAAACTTAGCATTGGTCTTGAATACAATTGTTAAACCATTAAGCGATTTTTTTTACTTGTAAAATTAAAGACATTTTAAGGGTCTTTAATTAAAAAAAATACATTATTTATAAACTATCATAACTGAACATTTTTTTTTTTATTTAAAGTATTTGTTAAATAAATCTTAAATCATAATACTAAAATTTTGTTTGTATAAAAACCATGTTATTTTATCAATGAAAATTGTATTCTAAATATTAAATTAAAAGTATTATGAGTGTTATTTATAAAATATTTTATCGTATACGTAACTTTAACTATTCAAACTATTATCTTATCTCCTAGAATCTAGGACCTAGATCAATTATATATTATATATTTTTTTAGTTTTGTTATATGAATAATATTATTTTTAATTATAAAATGTAATGACTTATAAATAACTGATATGTACTCGTTTCAAGAAAAATACTTTTTGATCGTATAATTTTGAAATGTTTATAGTAAATAATAAAATAACAAAGATTCGAATAAAACTTTTTACTGATAAAGTATAAAATTATATATTTTTTAATTTATTGTGCGTTAAAAAGTATAAACAATACAATATAGGTGTTTCAAGGGTCTCACATAACCATAAGGCGGTACTGCTTTTAAAAAAAAATTGATAATTATTTGGAAAATAAGGGGTACAAATAAACAGGGGTGTCGGGAGAAGAGTGTGCGTAAGATCAAAAGATCAAAACGTACGCGAAACGCTTTTGAGTTTAAAATTGAACATTCAAAACGTGGATATATCGTTGCGCTACTGTACGCTGCGTACAATTATTACTGTATTGGCTCACCTGGGTTATTCCACGCAAGGCAAGCGGTATATTGTCGAACACCAATATCCCTTGGTCAGTAGCGATTTCATGCAGCACCGTTAGGGCTTCTCGTATGTCGTCTGCTTCTCTGGAAGAGATTTGTTCACCGGCCACTGTTGATCCGGTCACTGCGTCAGGTGGATGGATGACCAACACCAGGTTGTTTCGGTGACCGCAAGTGAGGCTTGCTGATTCTATGCCGCCGACCACATTTCTGGTCTGGCTGTCAATCACGTATAACAAAATGGACGCGTTCTCCTTGGCTGCGTGCTCGGTTTCAATGAGATCTTCACTCCAATGGTCGACTTGCTATGAAACAGAAATCGCAAACGTATTAAAACACGATATATAAATAAACGAATAGTTTATTAATATAAATAAATAAAAGCTAAGCCTGGATTATTATTATTATAATTGTAAAGTACAACCTATTTTTATGTTACAGTTTTTTTTATTTTATTTATTTATTCATAGTCAGTCGCAATTTTATTATATTGTAAATACGAGTATATTTTTACGTGCCTATCTGGATGGTTTTTAAGTGAATGGTCATAGTAATGTATAAGTTTTTTCCATAAATTCCCCTGATCTTTTGTCAACTATAAGTTTCCATATCCTTCTTTATCCAACTTACTCACACTCCTTGTTCCATATTTATACACATCTCACTAACTACAATCAAAATCATCCTATCCATGGAATGCTACATATTCTCAACTCCACTGAAATCTTACTCCGATTTCACATCTCATTTCTTACAATACCTCTCATATCACTACACAAACATTTAGAATAATTACTCAACCATTACCACTATATCATACTCACAATCATGAATTAAATCATAAGCTATTATTGTAAACATTTTTTGTTATTTAATCTAAATATTTATTTTATATATACTTAATATTTAACAATATAAGTATATGACACATCACTTTGTCTATGATTTAGTGATGACATTACTGATGACCATTAAATTAAATTTGAATATTACAAAATAGCAAAGTAAAGTTACATACATCTATAGAAAATATTATGTAGATTTCTATTTTATAAATACCTAGGTATATATTTAAACTATGAAAATCATAAAACTAGAAATATGTATAATATATAGGAGTTGAGCTGAACAACAATAGGATAAGGACGGGATCCTACTGGGCCAATTCGTTTAACTGAGGTATAGGGGCATTAGAATGCCAAGTCCTGGAATAGGTCATCAACTAAAATTTTTGTTTTGAAAATTTTCCAAATTTTCATTAGCCGAAAGGGGAACGTTGAAAATCATAAGATTGTTAGCCTTTGACAATCTTCCAAGAGACTCTTGATATATGTTATGTTTTTACGTGGCAGGATCACAATGGTACTCAGACTCTAACTTTTTAACTTTTTCATGAAGTAATTTAATTTCAAAAGCTAAAGAAGCTTTTTCCTCCTTGACAAGGTTTAATTCAGTGTTGAGATTATCAATATCAGTAGAGAATGATTTAAGACTAATTTCAAATCCTTTTATATTTTTAACAATGGTTTCAAGTTTTTTATCATAAGAAGAAAAACTCTCTTGAATAGTAACCAGGAATTTTCAAATATCATATAAAGTTATAACTTTATTACTACTTAACAATGGATGTCGAGCTTAATCCTTTGTTAGAATGAGTGATCATAGGCGTTGTAGGCATATTTGAAAATAGAATAAAGTACCTTCTAAAGATAAAGTAGGTAACCAGTTTGACGTTAAACGCCCGGTAAGTTTGAGTTAGGCAATACAATCTAACGGAACAGATGAACAATGAACAGCAACACCACGTACAAATTTATCAAGGTCAAGCGAAGAAGACGATAACAACTTACGTATGACCACCTACCGTAATGATGATGAAAATCAAACAAGCTACAAACTATAACGAACACATATTAGTGACATATTACACGTCCTCAGATTTTTACGTGTTACATTATTGTTTTATATTAGTAATATGTGGAAGATTACAGTTTCACGATACCTGAATATTTAACTAACTAATGTGAAATCCCCACTTATTTTTTTATGAATAAATATCAGTTATATTAGGGCGGCATTTTTATAAATTGGCACAAGGTGGCTAAGTACCTAGTGCGTTCGGTTCAGCGTCGCCGTCTTTCGATATCTTACGTGCCGAGGTTGTAAGAACCATGTAAGCATGCACACAGTTTGATCATACATTATCGAAATCACATAATATATTTTACTATTATTTTGTCGTAATTCAGCAAACGCATTACTCAGAGCACACTCGACACGATCTAAAAATATTTCGTCTTTCTTATAACTCGACCAATAACCAAGTACCTGTGGATAAATGGTCAGAATCTAAATGTTTTACACACATGAAATACTAATGCACACGTCATAATAAATTATGGCGTATTAGAATCAGTAAAATTTTTTACTTACCGGATTGTAAAAAGTTAGTCTGGCCTGTTGGAGATACGGTATGGCCAAATCTTTACGCCACGTTGTCGGATTGCACGATCCGCCCAAAAACACATCAAAATTGTTCACACCTTCTATATCTGCGAACATTGGAAAATGACGATTAGTTTTAACAGGGAAAGGATTAGCACCGGTGATGATATTATTATAATAAGACTATATAATAATTGTTTTATTCTCTTTATTGTAATTATTCAAAAATATATTCCACGGAATTATTCACCGAAATCAGGTGCGCGTTTCGACGGCATTCGTCTACCAAATGACCACTACAGTATCCGACAAAATAACAGTACACCACACAAACACCAGCTAATGGTTAACTATAAAGTAGTGTCTAAGAGTAGAATGAAACTACACATGTGAGTTATTCATGTTATTAATTGTTGATTATTTTTTGATAGGTATTCGATTGTCGACAAGAACTCACATAGCATAGATATATTTACTTAATATTTAATAAACAATTAAAAAATGTAAATAATTGTTCAATACCCATTGGTTGTACATTTCTATATATTTAACTAAGTATAAGATATTTATACGATTTTAAATTTTCATTAATTTTTAAATAATTGTTTTTGAATATTAGTAAATTTTTACAACAAGTCTCAGATTAAAAACGAAAAACTAATTATATACATTCAATGTTGTATAAAGTTTTTTATTTTAAACGTTTAAATTCTAGTCATGTACAAATATCGTTTCATTCGTTACGATTGACAAATACTGTGTAGTAAGAATCACTTGGTATTATCGACGAAAACTAACATATGGTTTCGTAACGGTGCAGTACAAATCCAACATTTAACACGGTATGTTGTTCGCCCAGGTAACATTTGTACCGTACACCATGCGTAAATTAAACGGCGAGCGCAGCAAAAACCAGACAAATGCGGAACCCCGTCATACAGCCGGAAGCGTGTCCAGTTGGTAGGACTGGTAGATCCGGGCTTACCTTGAATTTGACTCTTCAGTATACCCAAAACATGTATTTTAAAAAAAACAACAAGAATTTTTGTATTTTATTTAGTGTTATAACTATATTATATTATGATTAACTACCTACAAAGTGCATTTAAAAATATATATTCAAAATTGTTTTACAAAGACAATGTTTACATTATACTAATCAATAGTTATTCTTATAACCGAGTTTGTCCTGAATTATGATCCTGGACACGCCTCTACATGCAGGTGCAGGTGCGCCTATTTACTTACCCTGAGCGTGCCTTGTGGAACGCATCGCCGTCGATTTCGCGTACACTCTCGAGAAGTGATGTATACGAATCTGGAAACCGATTTCGCTATTACGACGTCCGTTCGGATCGTGGTAGATTTGGGGGTGAGATCGCGCGGGCACACTCGAAACGATCGCAATCTGCAGTAAGCGCGTCGTTCGTAGTTCTTGTTTCGATCACAATCTTCGGCCCCGACTTATTTATTTATTATTCGTGAAAGGCGACTCGGCGCCCGTGTGCGTGTCGAACGGCCGTTATTACGCGGGGTGCAATAACGCGTCCGGGACAGCGGCCGGTCGAAAGGTGACTGGTCTATGTTCAAAACGAAACGGACGTGACTCACCTTTTGTCCGGACATCCCTTGTACGGACGTTTTGTGACACGCGTGTGGTCGGCACGTTTCGCTTCGCGGAACCGGTCCACCGTCGTAGACGTGCCGGTACACCGTCGACATTGTATGAAAACAACGACGCGTACTATCGGGATCGGCGTCGTGCGTGTTATTTCGTGCTCCGAAACGCGTTGGTTTTTAAACTTACTTACTTCACTTTTTATTATTCGGATAGCCCGTTAAAAAGGCACGGCAGTGTATTTTTAAATTTTCCTGTTATTTTAATTGAAAAGTTAAACGCTTTTCAAGATAACCGAACGTTTACTGTGTTATGTAATATATCAATAAAAAATATTGAGATAATGTTCAAATCGCTCGTTTGATAATTTATTAATAACTCGTAATAATTTTCATTTTCCGACGATGATTATTGTCAATCTATGTTTGTTGAATACAGGCTTGTATTTTTCAGTTCAAATGATTACCTCATTATGGCATTAAGATTTACATATTTTAATTTTATTAAAATAAATATTTGAGTTAGAGTAATATAAAATAAGATAGGTACATTATATGCAGAACTTCACTTTTTTTATTTTTTTTTTTTATTTAAAATAACTTCACTTAAAATAATTTAATTACAATTATTTTTCATAGAATTCAATTGTTTTGTTTAAAATATAACAACACATAATTTTTAAAATATTTAAAAGAAAAATGGACAAACATCAAGGTGTTTGAAAATATTATTTAAAAATTGTTTCAATAAATAATTCAAGAGGAAAAAATAATTTATTCTTATATAATGCACAAGAAATTGGAATAATGTTTTTGGTATTTCTTTTAAAACCGAAAATGTTCTTTTTATAGTAGGTATATCTTTTTTATAAACGTCCGCCAAAATGTTCCTCCTAATTAATAAGATGTATAAAGTTAAATTATTTGCTCAACTCGGGTAATAGTTAAGTTTCCTATAAAGTAACACTTTCAATCGACAAATCAATAAAACTACTACTTAGTTTTAAACGCATATATAATTTATTTTTTATAATTTTATTATGAACCTTGAAATATTGACCATTTTGTATTATTCTAATTTGTGATATAAGAGGGAGGAAAACCGTCCGAACTAAATGTATATTGCTCACACAGCTCGCCATATAAATTCAGTTTGCAATAATCGTGGATTTAATTAGGAACACAATGCTATTGTACTATGTATGTATCGAAAAATTATTAAATTGGAGCGTAACAATATACAAAACTTGGTTATAAGCTAATTTAGTTAAAAGCTAATTTTATTTTAACTTGTCACTCTAATTGCAGTTTAACAATCGTAGTTTGGACTTAATCGACGAAATTTGATTCACATAAAAAACAAACAAAAAATATATAAATAATGATTTTTGGTATTTGAAATATAAAATTATATATATTTAATAAGAAATATATGAACATGACGACTTTTCGAACCTATCTAGCGTACCGTGATATGACAGTTCGCTCGACAATGCAACGGTTATAGTAAACGAGTTTTCCTTATACTATATTTCATATAGTTATTCGTTATAATTAGAGACCGGAATTTTATTCATTTGCATGTTTATACTGAGTGTATGCACTTATACGAGGGTTGAGAATGTGGGCAATTCAGATCCAACTGATTCCATATATCAAATTTAATTTAGCATATAATGGCATATTTGAAAGATTGAGGTATATTTTTTCATAAGTCTTTATAATGTATATATTTTTTTAAATTATAGTAAATAATCAAAATATTTCATGTTTTTATTTTGAAAATTGGAATTTGCAATTACTATTAACACGGTATAGAATTTTATCTTTTCGAGTTCGATATCGTATTGATAAACTATTATCTGACAAATACATTTTAAGGTTACTTCTTAAAGTTGCGTAAAAATTTAGTATTAATTTATTGGCTACACTGCAAGTTTTCAAACTGACACACTGATTTAAATTCACTATGTTTTACCGTTTTATGTATTAGTGTAATAGCATGACAATATTGACAAAATAGATCTATTTTGTAATGTGTAGTAACTATTAGTGTACATATTATCACGTTTAATTTACGGTTTAGTGAAGTTTTTATTCTTATTTTGCGTAAATTAAAAACAATCTGAAAAAATGTCTAAAATACGAAAAAATATTAAGTGTTTGATAAACCAGTGGATTGAACCATATAATATAAACACTATTGTATTTAAAACTGATGAAATCGTAGTCTATTGTCAGGTATGCAATCGCCAAGTACCGCGTAATAAAAAGTTTCAAATCACACAACATACTCATACATCTTTTCATACTGATTCCTTGAAACGAAGTTTAAATAATAAAAAACAAATGATATTGGGAAATGTTTACAAACCTAAAACCAATAATTTTAATGAAGATCTCTGTTTGAGTTTAGTAGCTGCCAACATGGTTTGCCTACCATGATTTAAACTTCAAGTTCTACAATTTAGAGATTTCTTGCAAAAATACACGAATCAGCATATACCAGACGAGAGTTTACTTTAAAAATCTTATCTCGAGCCATGTTATAATGAAATAATAAATAACATAAAAGAAAAAGTAGGGGATTCGTATATTTTTTTAATTGTAAATTAAACAACAGATATTAATGGTACCTACATAACTAATCTTTTAATTGGTATGTTAAGTAGTGAAAACTATTGCAATCCCTTTTAATTGCTAGTAAAAAATTAGAAAAACAAATAATTCTACTCTTGCACGTTTTGTCAATGATGGCTTGAGAATTTTGTGGCCAAGTGATGATAATGACGAAAAAGTTTTGCTAATATTATCAGATGCAATCCCATATATGATAAAGACAGGTAAAACATTAAATGTATTTTTTCTCAACATGATACATGTCACATACCTAGCGCATATGCTTCAAAGAATAGCTGAAAAAGTGAGAGAATTATTTCCAAATGTTAATACACTGGTAAATAATTTAAAAAAAGTGTTCTTAAAAGCTCCTCATCGTGTAGAAGTCTACAAAGATGTCTTGCCAAATGTAGCCTTACCACCAGAACCTATACTCATCTGGTGGGGTACTTGGATTGAAGCATCCACCTTTTGTGCTTATAATTTGGTAGCCGGACAATTCACCGCATTTAATTCACCGGGTGTACAATTCACCGCAGTACAATTCATCGCGGCTAAAATTTATCGTAACATAATATATACGTACATATTATATACGTAGACATAGTTTCTTGAGTGATTGTAGGTCTAATAAAACGTATTCACGTAAAACTCGTTTTTGCTCTAAATATCTTCGGGTTTGACGTTACCAAACCTAAAAGCTACATCACCTTCACTGTTTACACAAATATATACTGTAACATTTTTATTAAACTAAAGTTAGTTAGTTTGAACTTATATTCAAATAAAAGGTCAACAAATCAAAAATTCTTATCGTAAATCACGAATCGTAAATCTTTACATTATAAAGATTAGTCGTCCCGAACAAACGAAATTTCGTACAATAAACGTGAAGTATTAATGTAATACTATACCTATACGTATAGCATCTATCACTTATCATAAAAATGTATTTAACCTGTTTTCACATGATAAAGATAATAACAATATAATGATAACATAATAATAATTCTGTCTTCTTGGCGATATGCAACAAATACATATAATTATTATTATATGTAACAAAAGTTAGATTTTGTCAAAAATATATACATATAGAAATATATAGAAATTTAATTAATATGTATATTATGATTTTTTACAGATCCATGGTATCCAATACAGTAATGTATTCCCGTCAGTTTTTGCATTATTGCCTAATAAAATGGAATCTACTTACTGTCGTTTATTTGAAGCATTGAAATCAATAAAAACTGGACTAAACCCGGAAACAATAATGGTTGATTTCGAGAAAGCTGCCATGAATGCCATCTCAAAACATTTTCCAGATACGAAAATTCGAAGTTGTTTTTTTCATTTTACCCAATCTGTTTGGAGACATGTTCAGTAAACTGGACTTCAACAACAGTATATTGAAGATTCAGAATTTGCTCTTCAAATAAGAATGATGACCGCTCACTAAGAGCGTACAAAACTAATTTGTACCAGTAGATGATGTTGTACAGGCTTTCAACGATTTGATGGACACTATTATTATACAACACACGAAGAGCTTTTAACTCCATTGACGGATTATTTTGAAGACACATGGATCGGTCGAGTAGACCGCAGAAATAGAAGAAAGCCAGCCAGTCAGCCTATGGAACTGTCATGCTTACACAAAAGAAAATATTCCGAGAACTAACAATTCTGTCAAAGGGTGGCATAATAGTTTTTCATCAACATTAAATGTGATTCATCCATGTATTTGGAAGTATATTGAGGCGTTCAAAAATGAAGAAACATTAAATAAAATTCAAATGTTTATTAGGTAATTCCACAGTAGTGAAAAAAAAATATAAGGACTTCGCTGCTAGATTAAAAACAGTGTGTGATAGTTATAGAAATATATTAATAGAAGATTATTTAAGAGACATAGCCCATAATTTTCAGCTAAATGTCTAATGTAGTTTTTTTTTAATAAATTTTCATAATATTTCTATAATTTTTATAGTAGTCTTATTTTTTACGATTCTAATATTAGTTATTTTATAAAAAGTTTCACGCGATTAATTGTAAACGCGGTGA